CCCGAAACATCAGCCTTCCTGCTCCTCTGATGCTGCTTGGCCTGCTATGTTCACCCAGCTCTACACCTTGTTATCTCAGATTCTCCAGCATCTGCAGTTCCTGCTATCCGTCAATGACAAATTACATTGTTTACAAAATAGAAACAGGCCCACCAGGTCTCTACGGGTGTTTACACTTGACACGCCTCCCCCATCCCTCATCTCACCATATCACCAAGTCCTTTTTTCCTTGTTTATGTTAATTTCGGATGCCCTAAAACAGATCTATGCTTCCTTCACTCCACGACTCTCAGACCTTTACAGCACAGAAGAAAGCCATTCAGCACAACATATCCACACTAGTCAATGTTCTGATTACACTAATCCCATTATCCACTCATGGCTCACAGCCGTGGAAGCTATGACATTGCAAGTGAATATTTAAATACTGTTTAAATATTATGACAGTTTCTAACTCAACTACGCTTTTAGGGGGGAGTTCCAGACTCTCACCACCTTCTGAGTGAAAAGATTTATCCTCAACTCTCCTCTTAGCCTCCTTTATTCATTCACAGGATGAGGGCGTCGCTGGCTAGGCAGCATTTATTGCCCTTCCCTAATTGCCCGGAGGGCAGTTAAGAGTCAACCACATTGCTGTGGGTCTGGAGTACAGGTAGGCCAGACCAGGTAAGGATAAAGGATAAGCCTTTCTACTTAACTCCGACTTTAGAGAGTCAGAGACATACAGCATGGAATAAAAGCAGAAGTTGCTAGAAAAGCTGAGTGGGTCTGGCACCATCTGTGAAGAAAAATCAGAGTTAGCGTTTTGGGTCCGGTGACCTTTCCTCAGAACCATTTTGAAGAAGGGTCACCAGACCCGAAACATTAACCCTGATTTTTCTTCACAGATGCTGCCAGGCCTGCTGAGCTTCCAGTAACTTCTGTTTTTGTTCCTAATTTACAGCATCCAGAAATCTTCCGGTTTTCACACAGCATGGAAACAGACCCTTCGGTCCACTAGTCCATGCTGACAATATTCCCAAACCAAATTAGTCATATCACTGAAAATCTTTCTTATTCATATACTTATCCACATGTCTTTTAATTGCTGTAACTGTGCCTGCATCCACTATTTCCTCTGGCAATTCATTCTCTGTACAAACTACACTGTGTAAAAAATGTTGCCTCTCATGTCCTTTTTAAATCTTTCTCCTCTCACCTTAAAAACATGCCTCCTAGTTTTGACTTCCCCACCTTGGAGAAAAGAAACTTGCTACTCACCTTATCTATACCCCTCATGATTTTATAAATCTCTATCAGGGCACCTCTCAATCTCATATGCTCCAGTGAAAAAAGTCCCAGCCTATCTTTATAACTTAAACCTTCCATTCCTGGCAACATCCTGGTAAATCTTTTCTGAACCCTCTCCAATTTAATAAAGTCCTTCCAATAGCAGGGTGATCAGAACTGGACACAGTAGTCCAGAAGAGGCTGCACCAACATCCTGTACAGCATCCTAACTGCTAAACTCAAAAAGTTTGAGCAACGAAGGCAGGTGTACTAAACGCCTTCTTAACCACCCTGTCTATGAGTGATGCAAACTTCAAAGAATTATTTACCTGAACTCCTAGGTCTCTCTGTTCTATATCACTACCCAGGGCCCTACCATTAATTGCACAAGTCCTGCCCTTGTGTGTTTTACCAAAATGCAATACCTCACATTTATCCAAATTAAACTCCATCTGCCACTCCTCAGCCAATTTACCCAATTAATCAAGATCTTTTTGTAACCTGACAAACCTTCTTCTGGACTAAATGTTTTAATGGGCAGTATCTGAACACACAAAGGGACAATAGAGAGAAGGTAGAGAGTGCAAAGGAACCTTAACAAGCAAAAACAGAAATTTCCGGAGTAACTCAGCAGATCTGTCATCCGCAAACTTACTAAACTTAAAATCTATGCTCCTCGTTACTGAGTTCTCTACTAATGGAAAAATACCTTCTTTTTCACTCTATCTATGCCCCTCCATCTTATATGCCTCTATCAGGTTTCCTCTCAATCTTTGTTACTCCAAGGAAAACAATCCCAGCCCAAGAAATCCTTCCTCACAGCTCAGACCCTCCAACCCAGGCAGCATTCTGGTAAATCCCAAACAAAAACTGAGGAAGGGTCACCAGATCCAAAACGTTAACTCTGATATTTTCTTCACAGATGCTGCCAGACCTGCTGAGCTTCCAGCAACTTTTGTTTTTGTTCCTGACTCACAGCATTTGCAGTTCTTTCGGTTTTTCCTGGTAAATCCTGTCTGCACCCTCTCACATGCAATCACATCCTGCCTATAATGTGACGACTAGAATTACATGCAATACTCCAGCTGTGGCCTAACCAGCGTTTTATATTGTTCCAGCATAACTTCCTTGCTCCTGTATTCTATGCCTCAGCTAATAAAGGCAAATATCCATATGCCTTTATAAGCACCTTATCTATCTGCCCTGCAACCTTCAGGTATGAATGTGTGATCCAAGGTGTCTCTGATATACAACACTTTCCAGGGTCTTAACATTTATAGTGTAATCCCTTGCTTTGTTGGCCCTCCCCAACTGCATTACCTCATCCTTTTCCAGGCTAAATTCTGTCACTGCTCTGCTCACCTGGCCAGTCTATTGATATTCTCCTGCAGTTTACAGCTATACCCCTCTCTATTTACCCCACCCTAGAGTTTTCAGGTTATCTGTAAACTTCTAGATCATACCCTCAACATTTAAATCCTAGTAATTAATATACACCGTAAACACCAAGGCCCCAGGATCCAGCCCTGCGGAATCCCAGTAGCAGCAGACTTCCAGTCACAGAAACATCTCTCTGCCATCATCTGATCTATCCTTTCCTCTCCCTCTTTAATGCTGGGGCAATGTTAGCAGTCCTCCATTTTGTTAGCACCTCACCTGAGGCTAGAAACAATTTGGAAATTACTGTCACGGTCCCTGCAATCTCCTTCCCTGCCTCCCTCAACAGCTTGGGATAAATCTTATCTATCCTGCATATGCATCCACTTTTAAGGCTGCTAAACCTGTTAAACCTCCAAGAAGGTTATCACAGAGTAGAATGGGATCTTGATCAATGGCCAAAGGTGTGGCAGATGGACTTTAATTTAGATAAATGTGAGGTGTGGCACTTTGGTAAGGCAAGTTTATGGTTCCTTTAAGGTGGAGTCACAGGCAGGCAGGTTAGTGAGGAAGGCATTTGGTACACTTGCCTTTATTGGTCACTGCATTGAGTATAGGAGTTGGGAGGTCATGTTGTTGCTGTACAGGATATTGGTTAGGCCACTTCTAGAAAACTGTAAACTATAGGGAAACTATAGGGTTTAAACTATAGGGAGAGGCTGAATAGACTGGGACTATTTTGCCTGCTGCGTCGGAGGTGGAGTGATGGCCTATGGAGGTTTATAAAATCATGAGGGACATGGATAGGGTGAATAGCCGAGGTCTTTTTTCCAGGTAGTAGAGACCAAAACTAGAGGGCATAGGTTTAAGGTGAGAGGGGAAAGATTTAAAAGGGACCTGAGGGGGAACTTATTCACAGAGGGTGGCACATGTATGGAATGAGCTGCTAGGGAAGTGGAGGAGGTTGGTACAATTACAACATCTATAAGGCATCTGGATGGGTATATGAATAGGAAGGGTTTAGAGGGATATGGGCCAAATGCTGGCAAACAGGACTAGATCTATTTAGGATATTTGGTCGACATGGATGAGCTGGACTGAAGAGTCTGTGTCTGTGCTGTTCAATTCCATAACTCTGTTACTTTCCTATAATGTGTCGCAGTCCTCCTCCTTCACATCTTCCTGAATTCCGTCTCGGATTCATTAACACCTTTTACCTTTGTATGGTGTTGAAAATCATCCATGATTTTTGGAGAAATACATAAAGAGAAACTGCTTCAAGATTGAAGGTGGTGAAAGCAGGTTCAATTATAACTTCAATAATGAATTGAATAAACACTTGAAGGTTGGTGGGATGTGTGAAGGAGAGGCAAATGTAATTTAGTGCAGAGAATAGTGGTGGATTCATTTTAATAGAAAGCACAAGACAGACAAATCAAAATGAAAAGTATAATTCTAAAGGGATGCAGGAGCAGAGGGAGCCTAGGGGTAAATGTGCACAAATCTGTACAGGTGGCAGGACAGACCTAGAAAGTTGAGAAACAAGTAAAGGAGAAGGGGTTCACAAGGTTTAAAAAAATGGGCACATCACAAAAGTAAGGAACAAGCAAGGAGAAAATTGTTGGAGAAACTCAGCAGCTCTGGCAGCATCTGTGGACAGAAAACAGTTAACAGTTAACAGAGTGCTGTGTAGAAAAATAAGGAAGTCGAGGTGAACCTTATACAACACTGTTTCACCCTCAACTGGAGTACTGTGCCCATTTCTGAGTGCAACACTTTAGGAAAGATAGGAAAGCTTTAGTGGGTCAGCAGAACAGATTCATGACAATGGTTCCAGGAATGATGGAC